TATATATATATATATATATATATATATATATATATAAATATATAAATATATATATATATATATATATATATATATAAATAAATATATATATATATATATATATAAATAAATATATATATATATATATATATAAATAAATAATATATATATCTATATACCTAAGTATGTACGTATATATCACTATATATATATATATATATATATATATATATATATATATATATATATATATATATATATATATATATATATATATAAATATATATATATATATATATATATATAAATAAATAAATATATATATATATATATAAATAATTTAATGTATATTTAATTTAATATTTACTTTCTTTGCTGGTCTGCTTGACTGGCGCAGGGTAGTGAGAGTTGGTGTTCTATCAGATTCAGAAGGTATCTGAATCTGATAGAAAACCGGGGCTACAGGAATGGGAGGTGGGCTAAGGGAGGGCAGTGGGCGGTGAACTGAGATGTCACTCAGTTCGCCGCTCGTGAACGCGCACACCGCGCACATGCGCGGTGTGCATAGAAATTCTTCCCATTGAGATTCATTGTAGTCAATGAATCTCTATGAGAAGATTTTCATTGGATGAGCGCCGCGCTGGACGCGCATGCGCTTTGCTGCCACAATGATTTCCTATGAGAGGAAATTCATTGGCGGACAGCGGGGAAGACAGTCAGCAGACCCGATGACAGCGCGGGGGGTGTCGACGATCGGTGACGTAGCGCTGCAAAGAAGGTAAGTAAAGGGGTATTTAGAATAGAATTTAAAAGTTAAAAGTGGGGTTCAGAGGGGCACTGAGTAGTGAGGTATAGAATAGGGATGTTAAATCAGGTAGTTTAGTGGTGCCTAGAGTGGTCCTTTAAGACTACATCTGTAATCAGTTACCTTCATGCCTGGTCTCCAATGTTATTAAACCTGAACAGGGCAACTAACTATGCTGCTGCAGGTAAATCTGTGGGACACAGGGTGTGGGGTTTCTTTAGCCATTCTATTATTATTGTGACTTGGAGTAAGCCTCTCTCTATGGTGATATCTAAATTAAAATTTTTATTGATAATGTGACCATCTAGCTGGAGTTATTATTATTAAGTATTGCTGTGTTAAGGTGTTGTGGTCTATTTACATATCCATCAATTTGTGTTATTGCATTACCTCCTCTGCTGAATATCCATTCCGTGTCTCTACTACATATTTATTTGTTATGTGTGTATGTAAGGATGGAATTATATGTTTGTTTCTATAATGAGCTTGTGTGTTCTGTGATAATGAGAATTGTCTGTCTATGGGTTTAAAAGGAAATAGGTAGAGTGGTATTTTTATGCTTTAGATAGTTTTTAGATATTTGGATTTGTGCGCTAGTGTGTTGTTAGGCATCTAGTGATTGCTATAAATATGTTTTCTGACAAAGAGAAGACAAGTTGCATGTCACTAACGAAAAGCATTTAGTTTTTTCTAAATAGGTCAAGAGCTGTACAGCCCGGCTAGAGGGAACCACCTGTTGTATGTCATCTCTCCTGGAATTTATATAATGATAAGAGACTATGCAAGAAAAGCACTTATTATAACCTTGGTGGAAGGGGCCCCTCTGAATACTTTTAATTACCAACACAGCTTGTTCCAGTTGCTAAAGTCAAATCCTGGATCCTAGTTTCTCATCGTAAAGTGACTTCTGCTGAAAGTGCCCTTATACTGGACTCTGAGCGGATGACCAAGAACGTAACCTACCATTGTGCAAGATTATCATAAGGGGAGTAGTTTCGCACAAGACTGTTTATTGTTTATAATTCTTAGTGCTGAATTGCTAATTCTGGATATCATGATAATCTTATTAATTATACCAATCGTTTTTGCAAATTTTGTGATTTGTATTTATCTAATTGTCTCTATAATCCGTGGCACAAAGAACTGATTACTTTACAGTTTTATCTTTTGGGAGATAGATAATGATTTTATTAATCAGCCACAGACTTGTATAAACTGTCTAATAAGAGAATGCACTGTTGGGTCTATGGTTATGTTCCAAATTCCATGAATGATTAATACTCTTTCTGGAAGTGCGATAATTATTGTAATTGCTTAAAAAAAAAAAAAGAGGTGGGGTGTTTAGTGATGAGCTCACACACATCACACACATTCTGGTGAAATGTTCAAGTTTATAAGTGAGGCAACAATACACTGTGAAAATAACATCCCTATATTTGTACTGGTAAATTAAAAGCATTTTTCTGGTAGACCTTATTAGAAGATATTTCAGGAAAAAGAACCCAAAAACAGTAGAATTAAATAAAAAAAATACACTCAATTAACATGGAGGGGGTGTCTTATTTAGGCAATAGCACCCTAGCAATGTCCATTCTTGAGCGAATGCTAGAGGGTAGGCTTTTGTAGTAGGAAATTGTTAGCAGTTGAAGAACCCAGCACTGATGGTTTTAATAATTAAGGCCTAATCTGGTATTTTTGGATCAAAGTTGATTTTTATGAATGTTTTGAAAGGAAATCATTTTGGAAGTTTATCCAATAGTATTGAATTATTTGGGATTATTAAATCAAGGTGTGATTCTGGGAACATAGTTTTATTGGGATTTATCCCTATATCAATGTGTTAAATTATATAAAGATTTTGTCTGTTAGTTCACTTTTCTAAGGAGGCATTTTTTAACAAATGAAGAATGAATAACAGAATAACATAATAACACAATTACATAATTTAATAACAGTATGAATAACATTCTGAAGGTCTCTGATGAGCAGGAGTAATTTATAAAGATTGCTTTAATAATGGTACAGTTTTAAATTACTAAATTAAAAGTTAGTATCGAAGGGAGGTGCAAAGCCCTTGTCGGATTTAAAAAAAAATTAAGAAATGTAAGTAAATTCCCCATTCATTATGCAACTTTAACATTAACCCCTTAAGACCGGAGGGCGTACTATTACGTCCTATTTTAGGCGGCTCTAAACGCCGCCGGTCATAATAGTACGCCCTCCTGTCTTTCCTTACTTACCCGGTCGCCGGTGATCCCACACCGGCGATCGCGGTTGGGGGGACTCCAAGGGAGCCCCCCCGCAGCAGATCTTCCTCCTGCAGCCCCCCCCCCGGCCATGTGAGAGTGAGGTCCTAGCTGGCTGCAGCATTGCCAGCAGGGGGGCTGCCTGTAATGACAGGTGGTCCCCCCTGCTGGCTGAAAATAAAATCAAATAAATTAAAAAGTGTAAAAAAAATAATAATATATACTTGGATCATTGATCTAAGTATATATATACACATATACATACACACACGTACACTGTATAGGTGTAATTTACTATTAATATATATATAATTATAAATATATATTAATATCAAATTACATGTAGACTGATACTGATTAAATATATATATAATTATTGTTATATATATATTTATATATAATATAAAAAAATTTAATATGTAAATACGTTAAAAAATTAAATAAAAAAATAATTAAAAAATATATAGATTTGTGTTATTTCGTTGTAACTGTATTGTGATATTAATATATATATATTTATATCAAAATACACATAGAACGAAATAATGTATATATCTATATACCTAAATATATACGTATATATCACTATATATATACCTATATATAAATAAAAATATTTTAAAAAAAATTATATATATATATATACATATATTCACATACGTGTGTGTATATATATATATATATATATATATATATATATATATATATATATATTAATTCTACATATATACTTATGTAATATTTTTACATAATTGGGTATCTTAATTAATTACAATTAGCGGGACCTGCCTGACAACCCATGCCGAAAGTAAAGGGAATTTAATTTGCTAGCACTATATTTAACCCTATAACTTTCCATGACACCATAAAACCTGTACATGGGGGGTACTGTTCTACTCGGGGGACTTCGCTGAACACAAATATTAGTGTTTCAAAACAGTAAAATGTATTACAACGATGATATCGCCAGTAAAAGTCACGTTTTTTGCATTTTTCAAGCACAAACAGCACTTACACGGACGATATTATTGCTGCGATAATTTTTACTGTTTTGAAACACAAATATTTGTGTTCAGCGAAGTCTCCCGAGTACAACAGTACCCCTCATGTACAGGTTTTATGGTGTTTTCAAAAGTTACAGCGTCAAATATAAGGCTTGTGTTTCATTTTTTTCACATTAAAATTTGCCAGATTGGTTACGTTGCCTTTGAGACCCTATGGTAGCCCAAGAATGAAAATTACCCCTATGATGGCATACCATTTGCAATAGTAGACAACCCAAGGTATTGCAAACGGGGTATGTCCAGTCTTTTTTAGTAGCCACTTAGTCACAAACACTGGCCAAAATTGGCATTTTTTGCATTTTTCACACACAAACAAATACTAACGCTAACTTTGGCCAGTGTTTGTGACCAAATGGCTACTAAAAAAGACTGGACATACCCCATTTGCAATACCTTGGGTTGTCTACTATTGCAAATGGTATGCCATTACGGGTGTAAATTTCATTCCTGGGCTACTATAAAGTCCCAAAGGCAACGTAACCAATCTGGCGAATTTCAATTTCAAATGTAACGTGCTATATTTGACCGTGTAACTTCCCAAAACGCCATAAAATCTGTACATAGGGGGTACTGTTTTACACGTGAGACTTTGCTGAATACAAATATGTGTATTTTATTGCAGTAAAAGCAAACAGTATTATGACATTGACAGTTAAAATGTCATGTAGAACTAAACAAAATCAAAAAAATCTTATTTTCTCCCATTTTTTCATATTAAATTATGTTTCATAGCTAAATATTTGATATTAAATGAAAGCCCTGTTTCCCCTGAATAAAATCATGTATAATAAGGGTGGGTGCATTTAATATGAAAGAGGTGTATTACGGCTGGACAGACATGTAGCGCAAATGCCAGGTTTTTGTTTTCATTTTGTTTCGTTCACAACGCGTCCTTAAGGGGTTAAGCTTTAAGATAGTTTTTAGATTTTTTAGTATTACCGCTTTTGTTTACATTTCTAAATTAAGGTTAACCCCTTCACTGCCCTACGATCTCCCTCTGATATAACTAGCTTCCAACGTTTTCTTTAACTACTTATTTCCATTATATAATGCATTATATTACCACCTGCTTGATCTTGTCTATTCAAACATTTATGAAGAGTGAAAGCTTCACTCATCTGTAAGAAAGCACTCTAAGGGGAAGTTATGTAAAGGTTTATAATAGACATATTGCATGCAGCACAAACCAAGCTGAAATAAGTCCATGATACACTATCTAGGGGTCTAAATTGGGTTTTGACTGGACTTTTAGTCTATGTAATTCATTAATTAACAAAAATAACATATCATTGTAGAAATTATTTTTTGTGGTAATAAGGCTTCTGTTTGTGTGTTGTAGTGACCGTCCTGGAATGTTTGTGCCGCCTGATCCTAGGGAGCTGATTATCACCAATCTCTTCCGGGTAACTCTAAATGAAGTTGAAATGGCCCTTGTTTGGCCACACCCCATACCGGCCAAGGATGCTGAGATATTTATGAGGACCTAAACTGTGCAACCAAGTTCTTGGAGAATTCTGAAAGTATTGTATAATGCCGTGAGCTCTCGGTATACCTTCTCGGAATCTGGAAGTAATGTACAAAATGAATTGTCTAGCTAATGAGTGCATGCTTTCAGTAGTAGGTTCCTAAGATTCTTGATCAGTGAAACAAAACTAAAATTAGATTTGGATGGAGCAAATATACTTGAACAATTATTAGGCAATAAATATAAAACACACTTGTACACTTGTATTACTGTTCTAATAACCACTAACCTCTAAGCAAAATAAAAAATACCCACTTTCATAGGACATCAAAACACACGAAAAGAAAAAGAATTTGGAGTAAAATAACACAATAAAATTTTCAATAGTTCACACAGAAAAGCCACATATTCAAATTCAAATAAAGATTTGCAGTCCAACTCCAGTGACTGTATTAAAATGCAAATGCCAAGTAGTGCATACACATGGCCCCAGTACCTTGATTAACTAGTTTGTGATGGTGAATGGATGGATAGTGTAAAGAGCCAATACCAAATCTCTTGGTATGCTTGTAATATAACGCCAATCAATACGTGTTCCATAACGCCATAAGTTCATGTATCTTTGAAGCTGGCAGGTAATCACATTGGGCATAAGGTGGCACAGCTTGATAACATGGTATCTATACTTTTTCAACCTATTACTGAACTTTGTCAAGATTGATATGTTGGTAAAACCCTTTTATAAATTATTGAAAAATATTAAATCTACCTTTAGTCCAGCACTGGGATAAACTTCTTGCTGTAGCCTAATCCACCAGTGGTGAAGTCATCAGTTCTGGTGACATTTATCCAGCAACATGCATCTCATAGAGAAATACTAAGGACACAGGGCATATGCGAGCAATCACTGCAATATGATCACCCTTTGCTTCTACAGAGAATCACTAAACCCCAAATTTCTTTTTAGGAATTGGCCACACTTGGGTCCATCATCCCATTCATTGAAAACTGAAGAATGTAAGGAGAGAGTGGTTCTAGTGGCTGTCTGACAAAATGTAAACATTAAAAATACTCAGAAACCACAATGTTTTACATTTTTCTAGAAATGTAAGATGTAAAGGTTTTGGTGCTTAGGGTTCCCCTTCAAATACATACTTTTTTGAGTGGTCACCTTAGTTTAGAGACAAAGATGCATAGTAATGAAGGACTGCAATTTCTCATAATTACTTTTAAACTGGACTAACAGAATCGTTCACGGGACCTAATAAAAAGATCGCCTAAAAGCTGAAAGGACCACTATAGGCACCCAGACCACTTCAGCTTAAAATGAAGTGGTCTGGGTGCCAGGTCCAACTAAGTTTAACCCTTTTTGCTGTAAACATAGCAGTTTTAGAGAAACTGCTATGTTTACCAATGGGTAATGTTATTTTCACAGTATGAAGACGCCAGCGTCCATAGGAAAGTATTGAGAATGCTTTCCTATGGACTGGCTGAATGCGAGCGCGGCTCTTGCCGCGCATGCGCATTCAGCCAGGGACGTCAGAAGAGGGAGGAGAGTCCCCAGCGCCGAGGGAGCCAGGTGCTGGAAAAAAGGTAAGGGATTAACCCCTTCCTCCCTCTTCAGCGGCACAGGTGGGGCACCCTCAGGGCACTATAGTGCCAGGAAAACAAGTATGTTTTCCTGGCACTCTAGTGGTCCTTTAATATAACAAATTCCATCAAAATAATGCACGAGTACGAGTAATACACAGGTAAATATGTAAGTAGTTAATAGTGCAATACACAAATACTTATGTTTATGTAGTTTACCATATGCAATAGTGAAACGTATTGCAAGATTTGTACTCAAGTCAACAAACTGTACAATTTTGATTAATTGTCTTAGCTTTACTTACACAAACTATAGTTTAAACATATTATATTAAACAGCAGATCTGATGATATTGTATTCACTTACAATTTCACCTACACAATTGGGAATATACATGGCAGCTATTGAATAAGACACAGTCCACCTGTGAATACACCTTAACAATATGTCATTCAGCAGATGTTTGCCAACTGTCCTGGGGAATATCCATGCTGTGCAAAAACAAATGCATAATTATGTCAAGAGTCTGCAAACTATTCTGGTACGCCTAAACTGAAGAGAACTGCATTTTTTTCTGCAGCAGAATTATCAAGGGATGTCTGCTGTAACTTTCTTATTTGTGGAAACCATTGCGAGTATAAGAACTAATATTTTCTAGAAGCTATCAGTGTGTGATAAGCTAAGTGTTTTGATTTATTTGAACATTGCTTATTTTTAATGCCAACAATAATAAAAGATAGCAAACATGTACATTTTTAAGACAAAGTGAAATTGCTCCTAGAGATTTTAGCAATCTATGAAGATGAAATGTTTACTTACATTCTGTTCCTAAGGGGACTTTAAATTGCGTGTGTCCGATCGCTAGTTGATGTTCATTAATATACGCCTGTCTGACAGCTAAATGGAAGAAGCATTAGGAGCATTGGTATTCTGTATGTCGAAAAGCAGGTTTTGTTTAACTCCCTAGTGTTTTCACTAAAGAAATACAGCTGCATGAAGCTATGGTGATCATTTCTATCTCCAGGTGATCTTAATTACATCTGATTTAAAGCTCACGAATATACTAGGTGTCTTTATAAACTTGTAGACATCATGGTAATGATCCAAAATGTCCAGTTCTTTATTACTGGTCTCATTAGCTCTCAGCATTAGATATGTCCCAAAGGTACTTCATGTTACATTGCAGGAAAAGTCTATCTTTAATTTGTGTAGAATCTGTGCTTATACTACTGTAGAACAAATCAATGTAATTTGCTTTATAAATACTCCATCACAGAGCAGGTGGGACAATAAGAAAATAAGGGCCAGATTTAATGTTATTGTTGGATGGCATACAAACATCTCATTACATTACTGGTGTCTTACCTACTGAAATCACCAATAATGTTCCTATTTACATATCCCGTTAATAATTGGCCCAGAGGGACATCATTTGGGACATCGTTGGTGATATCATTAGGCATGCCTCATGGGATGGTGCACAGTGACTGGCTAGCTAGATATATGGTCAGTAAAATACAATGAAAGAAAGAAGATATTTCAGAAGCATACACATGTATTTGTATTATTTTTACAAGTCAGGCATGGGATTTTGAATTGGGTTTATATATTTAGAGTTGAGATTTTTTTTTTTTTTACTTTACAAATAGTAATGCCAAGGCCTTAAGGCTATTTCATTACCCAGACCTAGTGACAAAACTGAATATTGCTGATACTGCTAATATGAAATACTTTGTTTCTACTTATATATTTTTATTTATTTTTATGATCTATATCTATCTATCTATATATATATATATATATATATATATATATATATATATATATATATATATACACACTGAACAAAATTATACACTTTAGTTTTTGCCCCCATTTTTAATGAGCTGAACATAAAGATCTAAGACTTTTTCTATGTACACAAAAGGCCTATTTCTCTCACCTATTGTTCACAAATCTGCCTAAATCTGTGTTAGTGACCACTTCTCCTTCGCAGAGATAATCCATCCGCCTCACAGGTGGGGCATATCAAGATGCTGATTAGACAGGATGATTATTGCACAGGTGTGCCTTAGGCTGGCCACAATAAAAGGCCACTAGGGAGCTGACGTTGGCAGGGGAGGAGAGGTCACCAGCACCGAGGGAGCCCGGCGCTGGATAAGGGTAAGTAGCTGAAGGGGTTTTAACCCCTTCAGCACCGAAGGAGGGGGCAGTCCAAGAGCCTAAAGTGCCAGGAAAATGGGTTTGCTTTCCTGGCACTATAGGATCCCTTTAAATTTTATGTGTCAGAAGCAGGAAAAATGAGAAAGCAAAAATGTTCTGAGTGACTTAGACAATGGCCAGGCGACTGGGTCAAGGCATCTTTGAAATGTCACGTATTTTCAAGTGTTCGCAGTATGCAGTGGTTAGTACCTACTGAAAGTGGTGCAAGGAAGGACAACTAGTGAACTTCAGGGTCAGGTGTGCCCAAGGCTCACTGAAGCACATGGGGAGTAATGCCAGCCCGTCTGGTCCGATGACACAGAAGAACTACTGTAGCTAAAATTTCTGGAAAACCTAGTGCTTGCCCAGCATCCATACACACACACTGCTTAATACATACATACATCCATACACACATACTGCCTAAGACATGCATCCATACACACATACTGCCTAATACATACGTTGTACATTAAATACATAATATATCACTTTGATAAATTATGTGTTCAATGCAATTGGTGAATTTATAATAAGACTAGCACAGACGAGCACACACACTGACAAACACATACACATACTGACAGACACACACTGACAGACACACAGTCACTGACAGACACAAACACTCACATACACAAACTCACTGACAGACATACACTCACTAATTGACACACAGAGACAGATATACTCTCACTCACTCCTCCCGCCTGATGTTTAGTATCCTGGGGCCAGAATGATGTCATATTTCAGCTCCTGGCATCACAGAGGGCAAACGACGGAGGAGTGGGAAGTTGCAAAAACAGCCTCCCTTGCCGCCTGCCTTCTCCTTCCCCCTCTCCTCTGGTCACCGGCATTTAACAGCAGTGTAGGCACCTGGGCAAGCAGGTGTCTGCTCTGCCATTCCTAAAAAAGGCAGCTTCAGGGGCACCCTGAGGTGGGCTGCCTGTGACTATGCTCCTCTCTGCTCCCCCACCTTCAGGTGCCTGGAGGGTTGGCACGGCGCTGAGGGGGATAGGGCGGCTCAAGAGCTGCTCGCCCAGCACTGCGGCCCAAGAAAGGGACAGCCCACCAGGAAACATCCCTGTCTATCTGTTGCGCTGACCCTGTTCTTGCCATGATAGTAAAGTGCATCACAGTTTGCTGCGTATGGGGCTGTGTAGTCGCAGACCGCTCAGGGTTGCAGTGATGAAACCAGTCCACTGCCAAAAACTCCTTAATGGGGACATGGGCATCAGAGCTGGACCATGGACAAAATGCTAGACAGTTGATTGGTCTGATGAATTTAATTTTCTTTTAGATCAGGTGAATGGCAGGGTGCATGCACATTGTTTACCTGGGTTATAGATGGCAGCAGGATGCACTATGGGAAAAAAGCAGGCCAGTGGAGACAAAAGCAGGCCAGTGTTATGCTCTGCAATGTTCTGCTGACCTTGGGTCATGGCTTTCATATACATGTTACTTTGACGTGTACCATCTAGCTAGAGATTGTTGCAGACCACGTACACCACTTCATGGCAAAGGTGTTCCGTAATGGCAGTGACCTTTTTCAGCAGGATAATGCATCTTGATACACTGCAAATTTGTTCAGGAATGGTTTGAGGACGATGCCGAAGAGTTCAAGGTGTGTGGTTTCCCAGGTAACAAATTCCATTCGTTTGTTGTGGTTTCTGGCTTTCTGTCAGGAATATGTATTCTTTAAATAATTCTGTTCTTTCCCTTTAAGTTCACATGTCTGCTGACAATAAACAGTCTATTTAAGACTACCCTGTCAGTGATCCTGCCCACTCTTAATCCCTTCAGGACCGCTGATGGTTCAGGACCGTCAGCGGTAAAACGTGCTTTTGGACCGCTGACGGTCCTGAACCGTCATAGCGAAAAACGGGCTGCGGGATGTGATCAAAGATCGC